AATACCGTAGTCCGCGGGTTCTTGACCGCTGAATGTGAATCCAGCTTCACCGATACGGACCGCTCAACTTGGGTGACATCTTGGTCATAGTCGGACCCGTCGAGTGTTCGGTAGTGAGGAATCCTTGGATGTCTTGTACTGTAGTCACCACCTGTCGCGTGACCGAGCGTTCGTGGCGTCAGCAACTTGAATGAAGCCACTTCAGTAATTACTTGGAAATACCTCAGCTTTCAGATGGTGGACGGGCTGCTTCGCTGTATTCCACGTTCGTGAGTTAGAGCTTGTCGACAACGATCCGTCGAGGACGGCGGATATTAGACCGGGGAGAATGTCATGTACCATGAAATGCAGCGTCGCTTCCTGTCCTTCTTGGCAGAAAATAGAGTGGTCTACGCGAGGTCACCAGTTAAGATGACGCAAGACACTGGGGAGATGCACTCGAGGGCTTCATGAGCTGAGAGGACGGGTGTCGTGGGGTTGTCACCCCTAAGGATGATGGAGGACATACAGGGAACGCCTAGGTGCGCTAGATGGGGTGTCGTGTCTAGTAATGCTTCGAAGACCACCGCCACGGCCACATTTGAGTTAGCCACTTTTCAGTTTGCTACAGCGTACACAAGACAAGCAAAAACACAACAAGTTTTATTTCTTCTTTTACAAGGCCGCCCAGCCGTCGGCCTCCTCCGTCTCCTACCTATTCGGTAAGCACCTACTATCTTGGTGAAGCGTTGGTCTTGTCTCCGGGCCCTCGTTACACCCTGGCTCGGGACAACTTGTTAAAGTATAAACCAAGCGCTGAATGACCAAAGTGAAGTGCGCAGGGTGCTCTTAGAAAAATGTTTCGACCCTATACTGTTGATCATGGTTTATTCAGCATGAATACTGTATCTTAGGCGGTTTGGAAAGTATCTGTTTTACCAACAGACACAACCTCCTGGTGATAAACTTATTTCTTGGCGATTTACTCGTGTGGCCTTTTTACTTGCAGTTGTGTCGCTAACATACATGTAAGAAGCAAATCTTTTTTAGATGATTACGTGGATTGGGCCGGTCATAATCCCGAACACCATTAATGGTTTGTATTGTTAATTATTGTTTATAGACCAAATATTAAAATACTAGTTGTCGGATCTACATATGTAAAAAATACCTGTGGAATGGCCATTAAAAAATGGACTTTCATGTTCTTTCACAGATTTTTTTTTCGAAACCAATACAGATTATTGCATTTACAGCTGCTTGAATCAACTACCTGACTTTTATGTTCTTCTCACTGTCTACTCAGTAGTAGTTATTGCGAATGTACTGGTCTGAGGTACGGCGATTACGTGCCACCTCGTTGGCTAGCTGATGGTTGGCGTATAGGGCCTGTAAGGCCTTCATCCGCTTAGCATTCAAATACAGCGGCCGACCACGACGCACATTAATGTCTTCTTCACCAAACATGTCGAGATACGGCGATCCGAAGTACGAACTCCTTGGGCCAAACACGAGCAGCACTGACGATGATCGCATGAGGAAGAACAATCCAACGCCAGCGCCACATGTGATGGCGTGGTGTGTGCAGGCGCCCATGCCGTCACTGCGTCGTCGACAGCATTCCGTTCCGGCACATAAAACCTGCTCACACACAAGGCAAATGGCCGGATTCTCGACGGTCTTCCACGTCTGCTTGCACTTGCTCTTACCCAGTACCTCCGAGTGCAGATCAGTGTACGACGACGCTAGCTTGACCAACCGGATATTAGCGAAGTGGAATAAATTCTTGTGTTGCTGTGCGTCCGGCTCTAGACGGAGTGGAAGCTTCGGCATCTCCCGTAAATTACTTCGCGCGATCAGAACTTCCCGATCTGTAGCGTCATGCTTGCCCTCGTTAAAACTGAGTTTCTGGAGCTCAGCGACAAGCAGATCAGAGTGGCCATGTTGCTTGTAGCGAGTCTGTAGCTCCTCAGATACAGCGGCACTTGTAGGACGAACACGTAGCTCACGAGCTGCTCGTAACAGATACTCTACCAGCGCCTCGTCCGCCAGCAACTGAGTAATTCTTGGCAGTCCCAATTGCTGGCACATGTCGTGGTAGTTTGTGCTAAGCCGTAACGAACTTACAAAGTTGGCACTCCACGAGGCATCGGGGTCCTGTTCACCTCGGAAGAATGCACGACACAGCAGCGTCACTTGCCTCATGAATGCCAGACACGACGACTTAAACAGCAGTTGCAGCTGTCGTCCTTGCGGAGCTGGACGTCGACTAGAAGACGCAGCATTGTCCTCGTCCTTGTCGCCTTGATCTACGACATTCACGCCAGCTTCTAGTGCGAGCCGAGCTATCAGTGTCTCCAGTCCACGCTGCATCTCTTCCCTTTGCTCCAGTGAGGCATCATCAGTCGTGGTGGCACGTCTTCTCTCCGCCTCGTTCTGCTCTTCCTCGACACAATCGTCTTCATCTTCAGCCTCCATTTGAGCTAACTGGATAAGCACTTGAGCCATGTGCAAAACACACAGAGAGCGAATCGTGAGCAGGATATCTGCCTTGGTCGTCAGCATACTGCTACAGATAGCGACGCACAGGTAGAACAAATCCTGGCCCAAAATGGGTTGTCCTAGCTGCAGTGGTGGTCCGTGCGTCAACGTCTCGAGCCACTGTTCGGGTGACAGAGCAAGTCGAAGATTCTGCGCTATAGGGAAGCACATGCTCTCGTAAAATCCTCGACGGCGGTTGGTGAAGAGCAACGGCATGCGCCGTAGTGAACGAAGCAACACGTTCAACTTGCTGTCGTCTTTTGGCGTGAACTGGTCCAGCTGTGGGTCGAGCGATTCCGGTAATGACACGGCCACGCGTGTATTCAGACACGGTACCGCAGGGTTCAAGATGTTGGTGATCCTCAACGACGAGAAGGAAGACGCAGCCGTGGCAGGGCCTGTACCTCCATTCGCTCGAGTACTCGATCTCCAGTTGGATCCCTTGTTCGCATTCTTTGACGCTACATACGCTTCAAACGAATAGATAGCAGAAGAAATGCCACTCAACTGAGTGCTTGTGATCGTCGAAGCTACTGAAGACCAGATCAAATGAGTCAGTTGCGCTCCAGTAGAGAAGAATCCCTTCTTGAGAGCACTCATGGCAGTTGCCAGATGCGTCATCTCAGGTTGGAAGCGCAGCATTACCTCCAGGAATGACACAGCGAATTGATTCATAGCACGAATGTCGTCTTGACGCTGCAGGCGCGTTCTCTCGTCTCCATCCTCCTCGTCACTTATATCTTCGTCATGCGGGGCCATCGCTTCCAATCGACTCGGTAGTCCATCAGATAACCACGATAGAATACTGGATGTTTCCTGTTTCGACTGGAAGACTCGCTCCATAGCGTCACGATCGCGTTGTTGGTCTGCTGACGTTAAAGGCGGACAAATTGGCAAACACGGTACCAGCATGGAGCTCAGAGCCTGACATAACGGACACAGGAACTCGCCAAAGTGCGCGTCGAACGCAATGTTCGTCTGGCTGTGCTCGAGGTTAAACCGCGACTGCGCTTTCACCGACTCGAAGTACTTCTGCCAACAATGCAAGTGTACAGCATGGCCGCACAGCGACAGATGAATCTGCGGCGGGAACACTGAAGTCGATGAGCTGTTACTTCCGTCCGCAGTCTCCACATCTCCAGGAAGGTTTTCAAGTGCATGCGCATTGACTCGACTCATCTGTGCGTGGCCAATGTACATGATCGGCTCGTCCTTCTCCTTCTGCGAGCAGATAATGCAGTCTGGCGGTAGTGGAGGCCGGTACACGATCGTGTGTCCAGGACGTTCACTAACGTCATCTGAGTCCACTCCAAACTTGCCAGATCCAGAGCCACCAGAGTCCTCGTCAACCTCGTCCTCGTCGTCCATATCAGCAAAGGCACTGGACTGTGCAAACGCCTTTTGACGTGCCATCATGGCTGCAATCGCGCGTTGTTGGTGCAGCTTCTTGAGCTCCGCCTTGGACATGCCATTCTCAGCCACCAACTCCTCGTGTTTCTTCATTCCACTCCACACTTTAAGCTCCACAAACGCATGAATCGCACGGTCCAGCGCTGCCAACTCGTTCAGGATCCAATAAATGGCCGAGATCGTCGACTTTGACGTCTCAAAGTCGTGCTTCACCATATCTTTCGAAAGAGCCACTAGTAACGCAACAATACTCAACTCCTGTACGTCATTCAAGTCGCCTTGATCGTCACTACTCATCTGCACATCGTCGTCACTGGATATCGGCTGTCTCTTCACTCGCTTCTTACCACGAGACGTTGTGTCAGACTCTGTAAAAGCTTCGGGTCCATTGCGTAGTAGCGCTAGTGTCTGACGTCTCTTGCTCTCGGACAACACCACCTCGTTCTCTTGCGGCAACGTAGCTCCTCCAGCGCCACGCTTTAGCACAAGCACGACCAGATTAATCAAGTGAATAGCACGCAGTAAAACCATAACGTTGGTCCTCTTGACTCCAGGCGTACAACTCGTGCCTTCACAGTGGCCATCAGGGCAGTTGGCATCCTCCAGCACAAGTCGCAAGACACCCAGCAGTCCCTTCTCCAGCACGAGAAAGCGCACGCTTCCCAGCGACACATGAGGAGGTGGAACTTGCGCCACCAACGGAACAGGCTGGTCTTCTACCTTCCACGTCTTGAATAAAGCTTCCTGTCTTGCAAACTGCGCTTTCTCGTGACTGGAGCGACTCAAGTGATAGAAGGACGGGTCGTATTCCTTAAAGTACTCCTTCTTCAGGATATACTTGGTAGGTTCCATGGATCCGTCTCCCATACTATCATCGTCGCCAGCGCCATCGCCCAGAGGAGCCACCATCACGGAGCGCTTCACCTGCTCGTCAGCAACTTCGTCCAAGATCCGTTCAAGCCGCGTTAAGTGCTGCTTCTCTTGTCGAGCTGAAATGCCACCGAACGGCGTTGAAACCACAAACGTGGTCTGGTCCAGCAGCTCTGACAGTCGACATGGATGCTGGCTTAGGCGGTGGATAATCTCACGACGAAGGACCGTGTCTCGTTGCTCAATTCCATCCAAAGGGGGCGTCAGCTCAGTCACGATCCAGATTAGCTGCAGCAGCGCTGCCTCCAAGACTCCGACAAGTTTTTCGTCCTCTGCACCGCTGGAAAGTGCCTCTCGAGCTGAGATCCCAGAGCTCTCGTCACCAGCATTGCGGACGTTTGCCCATGTTAGAAGCCACTCGGACAGGCCAAAGCGGTCGAAGAAAATGGTCAAAAACTTGGGGAACCCCACGATCGTCGCGCTCACCTGCACGAGGAACAGATCTAAGTCTCGCAGTTCGCTGCACCACGGCGGACTCGTATAATTCAGCATCTGACGCTGCATGTTCTGGCCATTACGGATCCAAAGTCCGCAGCTGATCTGTGCACACAGCACCAGAGAGCGCAGCGGGTACTCCATCATCGCATAAATTAACATGGTCCTCTTGTGTCGCATAAAATCGTTGTGTTCCTCGCCGCCAACCCCGTTTAACTGCAACACTTTAGTCATAGAGCGTTCAAGCAGTGCGCCCCAGTCCGTGATCCACGGAACAGCACTGCCAGGGGCCGCTGGCGGACCATAGTACAGACTCTCAATGAGAAAACTGGCCAGCAGACCGTGAAGCGGATTGTGGAATGACACAGGTTGGGTCGACACGTCATACTTGACAATCTTCTCAGACGAGCCCATCAGTCTCCCACACGGCGAAATGTACAGTTGCAATCGAGTTGTGGCCATCCCCGCCCGATCCAATTGATCCCAAAAGCCCTCCAGCATATTAAACACCATACGCTCCCGATCTCGATTGCGAGTATCTGTATCTACTGCTTCGTGATAGCGAAGTCCCTTGGAGATGAATGTAAGGATTTTACTCACGTTGGCGTGGAACGCGAACGCTGTAAGCCATGACTGCGTCTCGTACGTCACGTGTGCTCGTCCGTCTTGTATCCGCACCTGAGGATCCAGCCCTTGGATTTCTGTGAGCGCATCCAGCCATTTCTCCAACAAATCGGATCGCAGAAGCAACGAACTGGACATCGCCGGGATGCCCAATACATAACCAAAATTCTCGATCACGAAATGATATCGCTTGAATTTAAGCAGAGGATGGTCGCAATCCAGTGTGTGGCAGACGCCCTGGTGCTGATGTGGCGGTAAAGTCGGCGTGCGCGCCATTTCCAGCGCCGTATTGATCGTATCCAGTAGCATATCCAGTAAACCAAGGCTCGCCAGATGGTGCACGATCGAAGGCGTCGTGAGGATCTGCACGCCGTACTGGAACAGTGATTCTTCTCGAGTGCCGACGCCACAGAAATATTTCAGCATCATACGGTTGTAAACCTTGAGGAAGACGATCGAGAACTGCAGCTTTGGGTCTTTATCTCCCTGTAACTTCAAGTACAACTCGTACAGCTCCAACACGATATCTTTGCGGAAGTACGGGTCCGACAGGAACATGACTTGGATCGGTTCTTTGCTCTGGCCGTCCGTAGCGAACAATTTATCGCAAAAGAGCACGTGGAGCTGCTTGGACAGCGAGCAGATGACCTTGACCCACTGCGCCACACGCAGCAACACGTCTTCATCATGAATGAACCGGTCCTGAACCACACACACATGCCATCCCTCGCTCTGCAGCGCCTGCATGAGCGTCAAAGCGTCTCGTAGCGACAAGTTCTGGGCCACAATCTCCGATCCATTCGAGTCAATGGCGCGTACCAGATCCTCCGCCCTCGGGATCCTTTTCTGTGACAACGAGCGGATTAAATCTTCGTCCGAGTGGACGTCATCGTTGCAGATTCTCACGTGGAACTGGCGCTCCATCCTCTGTGCGTCCTCCATAGTAAACCCTCGTTCCTGTACTTTCAGCCTCAATTCATGCAGCGTCTGTCGTCCCTGTGCGTCCACATACTCAGCATCAAACACCTGCATGGATCGCTTGGCCATCTCGACACAAAACTCCACAATTGTCGTGAATAAAGCATCGGCCACTTGCACGATGTCCTCGGGCAATGAACCAGCACTCTCACTGTTAGTATTGGCTGTTGCTTCTCCGTCTCTTTGGCCGTGGTACACGCAGAAGCCCTCGGGCGCCCAAGCTTCGCTGTCCCCACAGTCACAGACTCCGCCTGGACTTGTGCGGTGGAAAAAGACGTCGTGACCTTCATGGTTGCCGTTCTGGAAACATTTGAGACACAGCACACACGTCTCGTCCGACTGGCACGTCTTGCAGTTGAACACGATGTCGTTACGCTGGAATAAGTAGCCGCAAAGTACCTGAGTGCTGCTCTTGGGCTTGAATCTCTCGAAGAAGGCGTCTCTCGTAACGGGGGGTAAGTGGCTATCACTCGGTATTAATGTACTGTCTTGAAGCATTAGATGGTCAGCGTGAGCCAATAAAATGGCATCCAAGAAGTCGCCGACCTGCTCCAATGCTGGCTCATTGACGTCTCCAGGTGACGGTAGACGCCGTAGCTCAGCCAATAAGCTCGGCATCATGTCGCGGCAAATGAAATCCACGCTCTGCGTCTGCAAGAAACGCCGAAGCGCAGTGGGATTGTCGAATGTCGGCTGTAACGACATGCTTCAACGTAAACGGTGATTACGAGCGCGTTGTAGCGAGTTGCAGAACCACAAGCGATCGGTTAGAGAGCTGAGACGGTGACAAAGACAGCAAGCTGCTTAGCGAAGCCGATGAGGGCCAAGAAGGCGAGCTATCACCTCGAAAAGCAGCGCGAACCTGGCACTGATATTGTAGATGCGAAAATGCGTGGGAGGCGACCAAAGGGAAGCAAACTGATGCCTAAACTAGGACAGGCCCGGTATTTCTAAATGAATTAGAAATTGAGCAAAACTTAAAAAAAGTACTTTGTATCGAAAAAGTGTTCATAGCTTTATGGCCCGCTTTGATCTTTTTTTTAGTCTGGTGGGCCATAACTTCCCGGGCGCAGCACGGCATTAGTATCGAAAAATTGTTGGGGCAAGTACATTTATCCATGTAGACACCAATGTATTTTTCATTTTCAACTGCTCTGATCTACGCAACAACACTCAACGACTTGTCACCACAAACACACATCTCACTATCCTTAGCTGTAGACTTGGGCGCTGACCTGGCGAGGCCACGTCGTGTGCACGAGTTCGGCGAATGGCGGGCCTGGCAACTTGGCAGCGCGAGCAGAGCTCGAGCGCTTCCTTCGGGTCTTGTCTGTAGTCTGGTCGGTTGCCTCTCCAAGCAGATCGCGTCGAATAGAATAGTTGGCATCGTCAACGAAGTCGCTGCTGCCTCGGAATAGGAGCTGCACTTGGGCACTCGTGAGCTCTTTGCGTCTCCACACGCGCAAGTCGAAGACCAAGCCACTGAAGCCGAACCAACCGGAGAAATGCGGCTCTGGCTTGGCAGGTGCCAGGCCACTGATGCAGCCGGAGCCGACATTGACGTGACGCAGTTTCTCCCAGTCTGCAAGCAGCGGACCAGTGTCCGAGACTCGCTGCTCCCCGTTCAGATACACGGTCAGTAATTGCTCCGGCTGGTCGGTCCTGGAGAAGTTGGTGCAGTCTGAATCGGCATCGCCGCCGTACGTCACCACGAGATGGTACCAGTGGTTTGGCGAGAGTTCACGGGCCACACAGATCGGAGTAGGATGGCTAAGGAATGAGCACCAGAGGTTGCCCATGGGGTCGATAGATAAGAGCTGGTGGTGGACATAGGGCCATCCACTAGCGTCGCTTGTCTCCTGGAATGGCAGGTCCTGAGCTCCAAGCAATATACCGCCTAGGAATGTGTCGCCATGTTCAGCTAGTGAGAACCACATCTCAATGGAGAAGGGGTCAGTTGCCTTCCTAGTTTCATTGTCAAAATTGCCTTCATCTCTGCTGGTGGTCAGCATGTTACTCAACGATCCAGGCAAAGGCACAGCTGAGCCACGGTCTCGCCAACGAGGGTCCATGGGAAGTCCGCGGAATCGGAACGAGTCTGTAAGTAGCTGTGGATCACGCTTGAAGGAAACTTCAAGAGGTCGAGGGGAACTCTGAACGATAGCGCCGATCTGAAGACGATCAAGGCCGCAGACGCTCTGACCGTTGATAGCTACGATGATATCACCACGCTCCACTCGACCAGAGGCCTCAATCTCACCGGCTGCTCCAGATTCAGCGCGTAGAAACTTGCTCACTACCACGCGATTACCGATCGAGTTGATCTTCACTCCTAACCATTTCTGTCGAAGCTCTACGACAGCTACCGTAGCAGTAGGCGATTCAGGCTTGACATGCATCGGCGATACTGGTAAATCGCGCACGGGGATTCCAATGGCTGTGGGTTGATTCACTGGAGGGTGGCCGGTAGGGCTACTCTGTCGACGGACGAGCTCCGGTACGTTCAGCGCAGTCTTCACTGGAGTGACGAAGGGAGAAGCTGCGACTCGGTTGAGATAGTCGGCACTGGAGACTCGATGTAGGGGCAATGGACGGGTTGTATCATCTTCAAAGTTCTTGTCATCTCCGTCGCGCTCGCGTTCTTCTTCGGCCAAAGCCTGCAGTTCCTCGACAACCGTGTTAATATCTGGTCTCGCGGCTTGGTCGGAGTCGCACATGGCTTCGACTAGAGACCACACATTCTCTTCCACTCCCACAGGAGGTGAGGGCATCTTGCCCGCCAAGACTCGTTCACGGACCTCCTCATCAGCCATGAAACCCCACGGTAATTCTTCTGACAGAGCCTCCAATAGTGTCATTCCAAACGCATAAATATCTGAGGCCAAGTCAGCTTTCGGGTCGTCTTTCAGCAACTCCGGTGCTTGCCATCTCAGCGATCCAGAAAAATGTGTGGGTGTTGAGTTAACCTCTTCTTTTGACAGGCATCGAGACAGAGAAAAGGACCGCAAGTTCGCGAGTCTGGCTTGGCCATCATCTCCAACCAGAATGTTTGCGCAGCACAAGTCACCGTGGATTAACGAAGCTTCATGCAAGCTCTGCAGTCCAGTAGCAGCCTGAGCAAGTAGACGGAATAATTGACGTCGGTGGTCCACAGACAGGTTTAAATAGTCCTCAAGCGACGTCACAGTAGCCGATCCAGGCTCCGGAGCTGCCCAAGGACTCACGAATGCCAGGAACGGGTGGGATCCGAAGGTCGACGCTCCTGCTAGCTGCAACACGTGCGGATGACAAACGACATCACGTAGCAATTCAGTCTCACGCTGTACAGCCTCCACAGCTTGAGCCAGAGCCGCCTCGGATCCAGCTCCACTTCCAGGCACTAGCTGCTTGAGGAGAAGTTGCTGCACGCCACTTTTACGTTGGCCACGACTACGCAGCCAACTCGCACTCGTGATCTGGCATTGCGGACCTCCACGGAAACAAGTGCTGGAGTTCTGTGCTACTTCAGCGGGTGATAGGAACCAAGAGGGTAGTACAGGCACCTGGACACCACAGACACGTACCAACCTACGAAACAGCACACGTAATGACTCCTCATGGTCTGGGAAGAGCTCTGTGCCGGCTTCCTTCTGCACCTCGTTCGCTGTTTCACCGCTGCTGCGACTTAATCTCTTCTTCTTCGACCGTCTGGTCACGTCCTGCACCTGCTTAAAGGCGAATTTTACCACCGCGATCATCTCGAGCTGCTCGTTGGCTGTACTTTCAGCAGCTGCGTCCACCTGCGCCCGAGCAGCGAGCTGCAGCGCTTGCTCTACACACTCCAACTGTTCCTCCCATTCCTGAGCCCAACACGCACTCGGATCCACATGCTCGGCATGTAAACTGCGAAACGAGGCATCCAGCCAAACGTGAAGCGAGCGCAGTTCGCGGACAGGAGACGGAGCGACTGCCAGGCGGAACACAGCGCTCTCCGTAGCTGCAAGACTCTCTAGTAGAAGCGTGAAGCGCGAGAGAACCGCATCAACCTGTTTCGGCCACTCTTCTGCCGAGTTATTGTCCGTCGACGCCGGTTCTTGCTGTCGGAAGTGGTCAGTGTATCCACAGATGGCCACGAGTCGACCAAGTAGCGTCTCGCACAGCGGCCGCAGCTCCCACGAGCGTTCGCACAGCGTCTGCATCGCCATCAACGTTGGCTCCATCGTTGAGCCCCAAGTTGGCGTATTCCGTTATGGAAGGATGGAGTGGCTGACGGTCGGCCACGTCGAAAGCGGGAAAAGAAGCAGGAGTGGCGGACAGATCGAAGGAGTTTAGCTGGGGACACTAGCGGGGGAAGTTCGCGTGGCTGACGGCGTCTCGGAATATGGAGCGGGCGGAGGATCGTGAGATGCGACCCGTAGCAGAGACTTGTTGTCAAAAGGTGGACTATCCGCATCGGTATATCGGTACGTAGAGTATCGACGGGTTGTGGCCGATCTTGAAGCTGTGTTATATGCACAAACGGGTCGCGGTCGTAGCGCTTGCTGTTCGTAATGCAGCGACTCAAAAGCTCTTGCTTACTGTATCGCTTCATGGCACCGGCAAATTGAAGCTGATGCCATCAACATGCACATGCCTTTGGCTAATATCTTAGACTCTGTCTGCACTAAATAGCAGCAATGCTATTGAATCAACAGCGTTAACGTTGGCGATGGAGCACATCCAAAATGCACTGCTAAAGGCGTGTGTCCTCAAGTGCATGTAAGTCACATGTACATTGCCGCCTTCCGCCCCCTGGTTGCATCGCGTAATCCACTCTGGTATCCAATATGTAGACCTCCCATCGCACGGTCGCTCTCGTTGTTCGTTGCTCAGCTTGACCGCTTCAAGTCGATAAGAACCTCTTCGTCAGTCTCTGCTCGGCGAATCACGTAGTCACCGGAAAGCGCACCCTCAGAATCGCGCCACTCTGTAGCTTCAAGCGCGTGGAGCTTCTCTAGGACATTGCGCAGCAGATCAAGCGACGACGTCGCCACGTCCACACGGCGAGCTACTAGACTTGGCGCACAGGAGAAAAATTCACTGTCGCCATTGTGCTCGTCGTCGTCTTGAGGCACCACCATCGCAGCCACGCTCCTCAGCTTGTCACAGCACGCTAGCGAATGCAATGGACTCCATGCAGATCGGCTAGACATCTCTATGTAAGTGCGCGTACGAATCTCATGGACTCGCATGTTGTCGGTCTTCATGAGTGCAACAACGACTCGAAGATGGTCGTTTGGGTTCAACTGGGTTGCACTCTTCGAGTCGTCGCTTACGCAGCAATGGGAGGTCATCACGGCAGCGCAACTTTGCATCAGAGTATCCATCGCTTCCCTCCACGCTGCCCGAGCCTTTTCGCTGCCTTGTAGCGCAAGAATCGAGTCTCCGAATGTAGCAGCCCACTCTGCCGGATCCAGCTTGGACAAGTAAGTCAGCATGCTGTATAGCGTGGTAATAATGCGGCCAGACGTGACATCGTCCGCGGTTGGGTTAACATCATCAATGCTGCTAACGTAGTGCAGCACCAACCGTTCACTGACAAGGTTGATCAACGTAGACAGACGGCACTTAGTCGGCAGATCGTTGCTACAACGTCCCAAGAGGATGGCGCGTAGGAGTGCAACCAACACGCTGTACGCTTCAACATCACAAGCCTCATGGCTCATTTTTAGTTGGTGCTCACAGAACTTCAGCTGTGCAGCAGTGTTTGTGACAGGATTGTCAGATTCCTCTTGCTGCCTTGCCATTTGCACGCAAAAGTGGGGTGTGTAGCTTGACAAACTACACATATTGAAGTAGAATTGGTCGGAGGTGCAAGATCGGAGCATGCGATGGACATTTGGAGTAGCTTCGAGCACAGTCAACAGTTTCGTCTTGAGCACTTCTACCTCGCTTGCTGCAGTACCACTTGGCAACATTAAATACAGCTCGACAACACTTGAGCTCAGTCCCGGGATTGTTGTGTCGATCCGTTGCACTGCTTGCCGATCCTCGGCCCCGAGAACGCAAACCCAAGCATCGTTAACAGCGTTAACGCCACCCAAAATCGCACTTCGTACTTCTTCCTGGATATTGCTGCCGAGTAAATCTAGTGCAGAAAGGATCGTCGGACACGTTGGCGGCAGCGCTGAGATACTCTGCGTTGCGTGGCCAAAACGAACAACATTCAGCGAAGCCTCATGAAGAGACTCCATCTCGCAGATCGGCCACTGAATGGATTCCTCCACCGAAGTCATCAGCGTGAGGTGGTTAACCAGACCAACGCCAGCAGCAGCCACATACGAACTGATTGCTTTCTCAAATCCTGGAAATGAAGGATGCTGTGGAAGCATAATCACGTCGTCAAAGTAAAGCGTCGAGGAGAATAGGAAGTGGTCTTGAATGCTGCTCAGTGTCGTCGCAACTGACGCTGAAGACGATTCTTCGTATCGTTGAACGCAAAGCAGCCCGCGTACTTTGCAGCTAGAGCCCATGTGGTGCATGATCTGAACTCTCCATAAAAGCTTGGTTGTATCATCTTCACTGTCCTGCAACATATCGCCCTCGTTCACGTACAGAACAAACAATCTCGACGTTGCTGAAGCAACTTTGTCCTCCTTGTCACCGTTGGTATTGGGAGTGCTCATCTCTTTCTTGGAGCAGCAGCTCGTGTCTACAGCAAACGGCGACGACGTTGTGATCACTCGCTGGTTTTGAATAACGAGTGCGGCTCCAAGACGCATGGTGAACTCGATAGGCGGGTTAAGCATCGTTCGCTTAGCTGACTTGCTCTCCAGGAGATCGTTTGAGTACGACGCACTTACTCCATCTTTCGTCGACATCGTGATGTGTGGTATCTTGTTTCTCACCTGCAAGGGTAATCGCTCATCTAGCTCCACACGAAGCGTTTGAGCTTGATCATCTTGCACGACTTCAATTGCACGAACTGTGAACGGAGCACCAAGCTCGGCATTTCTGGTGTACTGCTTGTTCGGTCGGTAAAACAGCGTGACGTGGTCGGCAAGTCTGTTTGGGTGGACTAGAGGAATCTGCGACAGCATCTTCTGCTGGGTATCATCGTTCAAGAAGAGACCAAGGTACGTCAACCCGCCCACATCTCCATCCGACAATGGGTTTGCCGTGAGTCTCGCGTGCTCAAACTGCGGAGTGAAGCAGTGAGCGCGTGCGTCATCCTCCCACCGCATGAACATACTGACGACTTTATCAGGAGGTACACCGTGAGAATTGCGCTGGCCCATTCGAAACGCCATCAAGGCGTCTGCACACTTCATCTCAACTATATGAACACGACTCCCATGCGACTTGGCGATATCCTCATACGGTTCGTATTCCCATCTCTGGGTGCTGGTGTTATCGACCAAAACAACGTGTTGGTGATAGCTGCGATCGCTTATATTTCGCGGGATTCCTCCGTGAACAGCTCTAGTAAAGTCTCCTTTACACTTGCTGTGGGCCGCACCCAACTTCCTGACGTCAAACACATACCCTCGCGGAGTTTCGAAGAAAAAATCAGCAGAGCACGCCGTGAGTGCTACTCCTCGATGATGACAAATTGCTTCAATCTCACGTCCAAGCGTACTCTTCCCACTTCCCGGAATTCCACGCAGAATAACGACAACAGGCTTTCCGGTATCCTTGCTACTCAGCATATCATCAACAACGGGCACCAGTTCAGGATACCGCAGCTCAGTCAAAGGATCCCGAGCCACATCACTTATTGGAGGTAAAAAGACCCGTTGAATCTCTTCTCTCTCCTCTCCCGGCACTTCAACAACAAGCTGGCTCCACGCCTGCTTCCCTTCCCACTGGTATTTACCAATCTCCAAGTTCCCCCACTCAACGAACGCTGACGCTAAACGCACCACCAATCTGTGCGTCGACAGTAGCACCTTGGACGGCACTCCACAGCTCTTGAGTCTCAACATCAGGTTACTCGCAAATCTCCATAGCGCGTCCTCGGACGCTCTGGTGAAGCCCAAACTCAGCGTCCACTCGTCGTACTTAGAGTCATGACGCAGCGTCGTCTTAGCCATTAGCTGCTGCTCTTCTCCATACTCTATTGGTCTCTTCAACCCCGCAAGCACACGCTGCAGCTCCACCAGGTTCTGCCACGAGTTCAGGCCACATTCCAGCAGCTCAACACGAACGCGATGACGCTGCGTGACTCCGTTGCCCCGCTGCGCTTCGAGGTTTTGCTCGAACGCCGTCAAAAGGTCACGTAGCAGCTCCGATTCGTCCTGTACATCGCTCAGGGTGAGTAGTACACGCACGCGCACTGCGCTGCGCTGAATATTGCGTGCGATGTCCTGCTCTGTGGGTTCTCCAGGTGGACGACGACCACCTCGACCTGCAGAAGATGACGGACGGGAGCTGCTGTTTCCAGAGGAAGCACGGCGGTTCTTACCCCAAGCCATTGCGGTGGTCGTGATCGAATTCCGCACTGGATGCGGGCATCGAATGGATACAGACCTTCACTCTTGAAAACCTATGAAGTAGCATAATGAAAGATCATGAGAATGCAACGTCGGACAAGAAAAGATCGCGATGACTGCAAGAATGTATGGACGTTGTTGAACTTGTTAACTTTGACACGCATGGGGCGCTCGCCTTAGGTACCTACTGCCGCTTCATGCCCCATTGAGACTTCGGAATAAAATAACGTCGACCGGATAGATAATTTCAGAACGAGGCCGGTTTGTCCAGGGACTCGATAAAGCCTGGTACACTTCTGCAAAACTCGTTCACCTTCTCTGCCCGCTTCCGCAGCTCTTCTTGGAGCTTGGCTTCGGCGGCAATGACAGCAGGGGGCAGTGAGGACTCGACAGCGGCTGCTGCTCCAAAATTGACAGCATTTGCCATTGCTGACAGTGGGTTAGCTTGCTCCCCGGATGCTCTTTGAGCCGCGGGATGTGCCTCGATCAAAGCCGTATCTGCCATCTCACTCGACGGCAGCTCGTCTGCGTACTCCTCCAATTCGCGTTTGAGACTACGGATCCTCTTCTCCCACTCCTCAATCTCCTTCGCCTGTGTCGAATTGCGCTCCTCCATCTCACGAGCACGCACATCATACTCCAGCGCCTGCGTCCTCAGTAGCTGGCATGAGCACTGGAAGAGCATCTCCGCCGATGCCTGCGAGATGCCTGCAGACGATCTTGAATTTCTCTCCTTCCGTTTTCTCCTCCGCTCTTGGTCAGATTTCGTAGCTGCTTTCTTCGATGTCTTGGCCTTCCCCAGCTTCGTCTTCTTCGTTGCAGCCGGAGGTCTGGGCAGTCGATCTCCTCCTACCACCTCCACCACATTCGCAGCCCTATACCTCTCACTTTGATTTTTGTTTGCGTCTTCTTTTGCTGCCATTGCCGACTTCGGCGGGACCTTCGTGGGAGCCATCGGGGGAAGCCCAGCGTCCACGTGCACAGCTCCAGGATTGTCTCGTCGTTGCTGCTCGTCCTCGCTCGAAGTACGATCCGGCGTGTCTTCGACTGTTTTCCTCGCTGCAATATGACCATCACTCTGCATTACGTCTAGTGTTCGCTTTTTGCCGGTCTCCATTACCTTCCCGCTGACAGGTTGACAGCGTCCAGCAGCCAATTGATCAATCTCTGGTGTTTTTAACTCCTCGTAAATCATCACCTCCTGTGGCAGCGCGCCTTGATCCGCTACAGACGCTGGCATTATCAGTGCTCTTGTCGCCAGTGAACTGCAACTCCCAGACTCGTTTCGGCGTAGTCCCGCTCAATCAAACCTGACGCAATGGTACAGTGTACCTTTAAGTTGGGTATTCTACATCACGTCAAATTCACTGGTTTAAGTCAGCTCCACACAGAATGCACTGATAATATCCGTATATATGACCAATTAGATGTGCAGACACACAGCTCCTTACTCACCTCAAGCTGTTTAAAAAAGAGGCTTCTTATTGGCCACATCACAGTGAAATTTTCAGTACATTATCATCGTAGCTGTTCACGCAAGCCATATTGCCAGCTGGAGAAAGGGTATACCTCCCTGTTGCGCTCGCCATGGCGGCTTCACGAGACCTGAGTTTACTGCAGAAGTGCGAAGAGTTCCTGTTGCATCCGACCGTGCGCGCCTTATCGCTCGCCCAGCGCGTGGACTTTCTGGAGAAGAAAGGTTTGTCCCCGGAGGAAATCACTCAATGTCTCAAGAGCGTGGAGCGCCGCAATGGCCTCTCACAGCTAGCGCAGCGCACGGTCGAAGGACTAACGGACCTTAAGCCACCAGGATCTCAAGTTGCAGCCTCCACATCACTATTTCAGCTGCTGCAGCTCGTTGTTAAGAAGTACGGCGTGGTGACACTGCTACTGGCGTTGCTGGGCTACGGGTATGCTCAGTTTAAGACGCGGAAAACGCAGCAGCTGCTGCTTCAGCACGAGGCTGACAAAACGCAGCGTCGGAAGCGAATGCACTCGCGAGTGGAGGCGCTGCTGAGCGTGGTCAAGGACCAGCAGGCACAATACAACCAGGCAGCGGAGCTGCTGAGAGCGCGCGTGACCAAATATCTGGCTGCGCAACAAGCCGCTGCGGAGCAACCTAAGGCTAATACGTCGGCCACGCAGTTTTCGAGAGGACTGGAGCTCCAGGCACTGCAGAGCGAGCTGATGGAGCTCAAGAGCACCGTTTTGGACACGTATCTGCAGCCACGTGTTGTGAACAGAGTGGTGGAAGTAACCAAGGAGATCCCGATCGTACTGAGACCTACTGAAACCACAGTGACAAAGAGGCTAGCACAAGGAATGGAAGTCGCGCAGAACTTTTCGGAGCAGGTGGAGAGTGGGAAAGCTGTTGCTTCTTGCCGCAAGTCGCCGATGAAGCACCTTCAATCAGTGACAGACACACACCAAAAAGAATCACGACCCGAGAAGCAGGGCAGAATCAGAGATCAGACTACTATGAGCTCCGAGGAAATAATCAAGCTGTTCGAGCGCGGTCAGGTTGAAGAGGAGCTTTCGACAGCTTGCAGCTACCGATTCTTGTTTGCAACGCAATAATGGAAATTCACGTAAATGGATTGATGTAATTTAAACATTTTCGCATAATTTACCTGTGTTTCGTCCTGTTTGAGCAGCACACACAAAATCGTCTATCTCTTCAGCTTGATATCCAGAATCTGCATTCCTCATTAGCGTTCAGGGTGCCGGACAGTTGCTGCTCAGCGCGACGGTGAAAAATGACTTTGAAGTACTTGCTACCGCAGATCCATCCCATCGGGTAAGGTTCCAGGGGCTTATAGGCCGCCGTCGTGCGTGCCAAACTGCTCTAAGCTCAGCATCACTTTACTCGTTAACTAAGAAAATACAGCACTACATAAAGCTTAAAACATTGTTTCATTGCTGGCTTACAGCTTGTGGGATCGGAACGTCGTATCGCCCATCTTGAATTTAAATTTCTTGCCGCGGAATTGTTCGAGTGCAGCATCGGCTGGACTACTGGCAGTCGACGAGAAACCTCGCTTACGATCGTCATCATGCTTTCGACCAAGTCCGTTGCCAGCGTCGGTATTGGCGCCAGCACGTCCTCCATTCATCAGCATCCGGTTCTTACTCTCCTCCATCATCAATCGCAAGCTTTCATAGCCTCCAGCCCAGTTCGCAGGCTTGTCCTGAACGATATGAGCCACAGCTATTGGTGTCGTCTCTCCCCAGATCTTCCTGTATAGAACAATGAGCGCCACACGAAGTCTCTGGTCCATGGCAGCATTCGTGTTCATCAGGTTCCACAGCTCTTCAGCGATACGTTTAGCCGAGCTGCTGTCATCTCGAAGTTTGCTTAGATTGGGGCGATCAAACAGTCCCAAGATCTTGTCCTTCTCCGGACTCTTGAGCACGAACGACGTCGGTTCCTTCATTTCGATATAATTCATCAGACCCAGAGTGTAGCTGTGGTCCCACGTAGCAAGCACCTCTTTGCCTACACCTGGTGGGAACCCACGCATGCAGTTCAGACACACTTGGACCGCAAACAAGCGGATCCCGGGAGACTGTTCCGCCTTCAACAACTCACACAGCCACAACATCGCAGCCGTCGCTCCATAACTGTTCGATAACAACGAAGTCGCTCCTCGTCGACTAGATTTACTGGTGTTGACAGAGTAACTCATTCCCATCGATGAAGAATTGTCTCCCGTATTTGGGCCATTGGGGTCTTCAGCGAAGTATAGACGGAGAATACTCTCGATGGCAGCTTTGCGGACGAGATTCGAGTGCTTGGGCGATGCGAATGAATGGAAGTTGACGAGCTTCTCCTCGCAACGTCCTGCCAACACCAAGTTACACAAGGCTTCGAGACAGCACACGGTGATTGTTTTGTTGTAGCTGGGCTGGACTTGGTCGTAGTGCAGATAGCGCAGGATCTCGAGCGCAACCGCGTCACCGTCTTCCGAGCGAGTAGGACGATCCAAACTCAACACGGACAGTGACAAGACGATGTTGCCAATGTAGTAGCAGTCGTCCGCCACTTGCGATTGGTCGTCCATTTCCACGTAATTCTTCGAGTTGTCATTCTCCGTCAGCAATTGCAGCAGGAACCTCTCGATCTCCGGTGGCGTCTTGCCGTTCTGAGCACGAATCATCGCTAGTGCCTTAGGAATACTCTTCTTGATTTCGTACTCTCCCTCAGCATAGTCTTGCACCTGGATCTGCTTGCTAGAAATCGACGCCTGTTGTGCTCCCAGGGCCTCGAGGATAACCTTGCCGCCAGAAGGCAAAAAGTAGTTCGGCAGTGGCATATCTGTCGCTCGATCGAAGAAATGCTCCTTGAAAATACGCACAAGATTGTGCATGGCCTTCCAGATGGGGAGCTGCGTGTTCGCATTCGTGAGAGGTGCGTGGATCGACTGCCAGATGCCGAGAGATTGAGCTGCTTCGGCACGTAGTCGCCTTGAATGAGTCGTAAGACCACTCATACACTCAGTGAGAACTCGACATGACATGACGTTCGGCTTCTCGTGAGGTCGATGGAAGAGCGCTAACGCACGAGCAGCATGTACACGCGAGCCAACCTTCTTGTCCGAGAGCAACTGCTCCATCCAGTTAAAGTCCGGCTGATGCATCACGACATGTCGTAGCCAGGCACAACCCGTGTCGATCTTGACCCAGAAGACTGGAGTATCGTTCAGACCCATCCCTGGTCCACCGACAGATACCGAGTCGTCCGGGTCTGCGAGTCCCTGACGCTTTCGACGTTTCTTTCGGACTTTCGAGTGACATGGGAAGTCGAATTTGTGCCGCTTGTGTTCGATACGCTTCTGATAAGTGTACTCACTCGTATCCTCGACGATCGTAATGGTGATTGGACCAGTGTAAAGCTTCCCTCCAGGGGGAATCTCCTGTTGCAACACCACTTCTGCTTGTGTCTGCTTACGGTTGTACCAGTATCCGACCGTAAAGAAAGGCATCCCAGGCTCAATAATCCACGACGTAAGGAACGATTTAGTGAGGTCTTGACCTGCAGCACCAGCGATCGTCTTCACTGTCTTCAAGAATGACAACGTCGTCAAAGGCTCCGATGACGTCGCTCCATTGGCTGGTTTCCCTGACGCGTTAGAGTTCTCAGCACCAGCGTCTCCTTCTTCATCTGCACTCTTCTTGTCGTCAGTGCTCTTTCCATTCTCTTCATCCTTGCTATCGCCATTATTAGGCGCGTCACCTCCACTTGCAGCATTATTCGCTGCCATACCAGCTCCTTCAGACACAGCACGTTGAATAGCGATACTCAAATGCTTTGGTCCTACACGCTGCTCAATCATATGCAGCACAAGAGGAGCCTTTACTTCCAGCAGCGTCAGCGACAACGGGTCGTACTCTGAATACACGTCCACTTCCGACGACAGCAACGCTGGAGACTGATGATCTGTCGTCAACTCCATCGTAGTCAACGCATCCATCGCCAGTTGAATACGGTATCCATACTCTTCTTCCCCGTATACAGAGCGGACATACGTGTTCACTAGATGCCCAATAACACCAATCAACACCCACGCGTCTTTCGTACTTTGAATACCCACAGCGCCGCCAATCCAACTGCCTACAAGCGCCTTAACCTGTGCCAAGTGCGATGGTAATTCACGATCAATAATCCTCGGTCCATGCAGCAAATTCTGGTCCAGAATGGCTCCTCCTGCAATATATTGCAGCTGATCCGGTAGATCTTCCACAAACACTTGCTGGTACGTTTTGAATGGGAACAAAGTGCCCAGTGCTCCTTCAAAATACGTCATGGCCGAGGACAACTTGGACGTGCAATGCACGAGGTCTTCGAAGCACTCGGGCAATGCAAAGTGCGTCATTCGGGGCATTTCTGGCGGGACGTAGAGTCTAAAAGGTCCCACTGCAAAGCCAATGGACGAGCAATTGGTCTTGGGGTTTACGACATATCTGAACGTCCTCCACTGTCCTCCGTCCGCATCTGTCTCTGGATTTAGAATCTGTTGCACCATCTGTCCACTACAGACAGCCACACACCAGTCGGGCACTGTAAGCTCGATCCTAAATGTGCAGGCATCTCTCAAAGTGTCTCTGCAAGGCATCCAGGACCGTGCTCCGTCGCACAGACCGCCAAAAGGTCCACAATAAGTGTACATGTGCGGACTTCTCTTAGGTTGGTACTGTTCGTCTGGCAGCACGAACCTCAGGCCACCAGTGGGCTCGTCAACGTCGTATTCGACCCTCACAACCACAGGTTTGAAGCCTGTGGAGCTCTTGGGCAGACGATCGAGGTCCCAGGCATCGAGTACCAACTTTTGTTCTTTTTGAGTATCAACTTCTGTCTCTTCGCCGTCGTCATCGTCTTTTTCCACTTGTTGGTCTCTTAAGTTGCTCGAGTCCTCGGCGTTCTCCTCGTCCTCCTGGAATGTTACGTCTCTCGGGATCTCGATGATGAGTTCGCCTTCCTTAGAGGCGACGATAGCGCCGCGGTAGAATAGGTCGAATGTAGCCAAGTCTCTGTAGTTTTCGTCCACGATCTCGCCCAGGAAGTTAAGTTGCTCGAAGTTGGCCTTCACACCGTTAATACACACGCTCTTCACTTTTAGCTGTCGAGCGTGCAGCCGAAGCACGCGCAGCTCTGCCGCTCTAGGGGCCAGTATCACCTCAGCAACACCCTCTATGTGGCGCTGCATGACGTCCACGCGGAGTGCTAAACGCTGCTGCAGGTACTCGAAGTCGCCGATCATCGTTTGGCACTTGCGACTTCTCTCCTGAAAGAGGCAAAGTGGAAGTGTGGTGGTGCCGTACATTCGGAGAACATATTCATCACATTGAATGTTCCCCGAAGGTAGGTCTTGCATTTTTTGGTAAGCCTTATTTTAGGAAGGGGTCTACTATTCGAGGTTATATTTTTAGCACAGCGGTATTTAAAATTAAATTTAAAGCGGTATATTTTCAAAATTGGAGGTCCTAAAAGGAAGACCCCAGGTTTGTACGCACTTAAGTACGTGAAACTCTGGAGGAGATCGACGGCGCGTGCTGGTAAAAAATGAGTGAATAGAATTTTGTTGTCGATGCATACATTCTCCCGAAATTAATGCCGTAGGTTGCCGGGGAAGCTCTGGATATTATTGCCGACAGAATTGCGATTTCTAACACTAATAGTGATTTCTCCATCGCAACGTAGCTTGGGAACTAGCGACAATTGCCCATACTACGCGCTAGCGGGGAATGCATTCGTTTGGTACTACAAAATCAATCCCTCCTTGACAGTGTTGATTCCCCCGAGCTACCAATCTCGCTTCCTTGTTAACAGAAACTGCTGTTTACTATAGTTTTCGTCGGTGTTAAAGCGTGCCAGTAGCTAGAGCTTGATCAAGCTAAATACCAGCCTAAAAACGGGTATGAACAATACACGTTGTGGTTCCGCCCTCGGCCTTTGTGCTAACATTTTTATATTAAACGTGTTCAGCCTCTTTCGTCGCAGCTACGACGTTTCAAGTTGTCTTTTTGCTCTACTTACCTACCAATTGTAGGCTACCATCACCGCTGTAGATGTGACAGCTGTATACTTGCATTACTTTCTTTATAAGCAATATTTGAGCATATTTACCGCTGATTCAATACTCAGAGCGAGTTTATCGCTGCAAAGCTACAAGTCCTGACGAAAAAAAAAAACGATGAATAATTAATAGCGATTTGATCGCTGACTGCACCCGTTGCCGCGCTCCGCTGCAGCTTTTAGCCAGAATCTAGCTAGCTTATGGGCCGTTCCGAACCGGGATCGGATCGGGGCGCGGGGCGCGAGGAAAAGGGGAGGTTAGGTGATGCCCTGGGGAAGTACTTTTGGCCGTTCCGAACCGGATCGCGATCTGACCAGGTCTCGCCACTTGGCTACAGTTTCCTTTGAAGTTTCCGAGCTCCTGTTGCAAGCTTCTTTTCGCGCGCTCGTTCAGCTCCCAGCGGAAATTCTCCCTGGCCATGGCGGCGCCAGCAACATGGACAGTGAGCGCGGCGCTGTTGAGCCGACGCAAGACGCCCGTGCCCGTGCCAACCTCGGAGGCGTACGAAAACTGGTCGCTACCCCAGCTCAAGCTCGAGTGCACGGCGCGTAAGCTTAACGTAGTGAAGAACACGAACAAGGAGGGCAGGATTGCGCTGCTGAACGCGTACGACAACAACAAGAAGGCCATCCGGAAGCGTGTGCAGCAGCAAAGGAGTGACGCGAGGCGCGGGCATCAGGAGGAGGAGAAGCGAACGAAGAATTGCATGTTTCGCTTGCTCAACGTGCTGTTTTCGGAGCGCTTTTTCCACGCCTTCCTGACCTCTGGGGACCAGCTCAGCCGGCGCGAGCTCGACCAAGGTGGATCGACGTTTTGGGAGAACATAGCGACAGCATTCAGCGAGGACAACGTCGAGTTCGACGCGCTGATCTCTCCGGACGACCCCGTGTTTGAGGACATTCGGGCCTCGCAGACGGTAGCCCATTCGGCCGCCAAGCTCCACAAAATGTGGCGTGAGGTGAGTGGCAACTTTGCTCGGGCAGAGGCGGGATCGAAGAAGTCTGGCGAGCATGGCGACGACTTCTGGGAGTACTGTGGAGGAAGAGCTGATGTCTTCTACTTGCACCAGTGGTGCAATCATCGGGGTGCTGGTCGCGAGTTCTGCTCAGCGAACATATACTCGGACGATGAAGACGACTCGCAGAAAGAGGGCACAAGCAGAGCCAAGAAGGGCAACCGTAAGCGTCGAAACAGCTCACAGGCGGAGGTGCTGGCGGCCCTAGCGGACAGTGTGGGTGCAATCGCGGCAGCGAACGAGACCAGTGAAGCTCAAGAAGCCACGTGGAAGGAACAAGCTTTGTTGCTGCACGATAAGAGGATCTCACATCGACTCAGCATGCTGTCCGACATTTTGAAGCGCACTAACAGCAACATTCTCGAGCTGAAGACGCACATCCTAGAGCACGAAGATGACAGTGACGAAGACGAGTTTGATGCCGAAAGCTTGCTGGCGCAGGAGCGTGGGAAGCGCCAAAAACTGAGAGATCAGATTCTGGAACTGGAATGCGAGGTGATCGCTAACGTGAACGCTGAACAGGTAATTTAACGCGTCCTTGGGCGTCAAAGGTTGAAGTCTTGGATGTGGTCGTTGATAATCTGGCGCAGGATCCGACCGCGAGCAGCATTGTCAAGTTCAACGCCCGTAATGTCCGTGTCTTCCATACTGTTATCCGCAGCATGGTAGGCGCATTCTCGTAGTCTGTGGTATGCACTCGACACTCGGTCGTGCACCACCGTTGCATCAGCATTAATTAAGGTTTCGTTAGTGCAGAAGTTGTGGAGCTTCATGCACGTTTTGATCACTTTGCTGACGTTCTTGAAATCCACCACCAAGGGCTTCTTGAATATTTGCCACTTGTTCACGAGCAAACCGAACGCCATCTCAATCCGAATGCGGAGCTGACTGAGATAGAAACTAAAATCAGAGTCCTGCTTTTTCTTCAACTCCACTTTATTGTATGGCACCAGTAGTGAGTCTGACAGCGGGTACGCGTTGTCTCCAACGCAGTAGTATCCTGGAGGTAGCTCCATGATTTCGTCACTTAGTGTCCACTTCTTAAACGCGATGGAGTCGCCAACCTTGCCCGGCGAGTCAAAGCAGTAACCTGTGAACCGACACAGCGAGTCACAAATGGCTTGAACGTTCAAGCCGTACATCTGGTAATGCCCCGAGAAAAATGCAGCAACGTCGGGTACTTCTCGGCTGCTTGGTGCTCTAATCTGGCAGAGCCAACCGTCCAGGCACCCCACACAGCCCGTCATGATACCATCCTTGCTGATCTTCGTGAA